GCAACGTTGCTGAAACATTCATAATGTTGCAATTCTACGTTTTTTAGATATTGATTCAACGTTTGTGTGCTCTATGGGATGATCCTCCATGTAATATGACCTATCGCTTATCCCGTGACGTATAATAGATTATACGTAAGAACATTTATGTGATATGTAATATGATCTGTAGTTTATCTCACGAGATATAATAAAGTATTAATTGTAAGAATATCTATTGAAACATCTTTCAGACATTTATCGAACATCTACCGAACGTCAATCGAACGTCTATCGAACGTATATCGAACGTCTATCGAATGTCCATTGTACATCTCTCAAACCACATTCAACGTCTATCAATCGTTTATCGTGTGATTTTTAACTACTTTCAGCATTTGTAGAGATAGACTTTTTCCTCCTTCTAAAAGAAGAATTGGTATTATACTACCTTTGCAAATTATATAATTTAAGACATGTGCTATCGATGCGCTTTTGTATTTGAAGATTATATAATTTAAGATGTGTGCTACCGTTGCTCTTTTACATTTGAGGATTATATAATTTAAGATGTGCTCTTTTTGCATATGATGTGCTTTGTCAGTTTATTTAAATACATTTTTATCACGTATTGAGGAAAGAAGATATAGATGTCTCCCGTAGGATGGACACATAGATTTGTAACACATCTTAAAGGTGCGAGTATAAAAATGCATTAGAAGCTCGGACGGCCACAAGTCCTCCTACAGTTCGCCAGAGCCGGTGAGATAGCGCATCAGGTTTGTGAGCGAATCAAATTAAAATAGAAAAAAAAAATGGAATTCTACAACGTCGAAATCGGACAAATTTTGGCATTAACCACAGTCGTAGCTGAAAGAGCTAGATTATTGACGGATGTAATGCATCGTTTTCAAATATCGGTGCAGGAGATGCAGCAAAATGTTCCGGATTCCCCGGATCACGTACAACATAGAAGGAAATGAGCATGGGGCGATAATACTTTCAATGTAAGTAACTTTCTTATTACATACTCATTCCGTGTCACTCATACACATGTACAATTGTTGTAACTTATAGTTTCATTTCTTAATTGTGTATTTTATGATTTGTTTCCAGAGCGGAAGCCAGAAATAATTTGACAACGGTGATGACGCAAATAAATGTTATGATCACACTGTTCCAGCAGATGGAACAAAATACAATCAGCACGAACGATATAATGAGTGCTGTAATGACTGTGTTATCCACGGACTTCTCCATTTTATTGAAGGTATCACAGTTTTCTTCTTTTATTTGTAGAAATCGTTTTATTAATAATTTTTTTATTTTTTTTTTGTTACAGATGATAATATTCAGCAGATTTTTTTTTTATATTATATATATTATATATATTATATTATATTATGTTTTTTTTTATATTTTATAATTTATTATTTTAATATTTTCTGTTAAGTAATTTATTATGATGTCTTACACTTAAATTTACATATTTTTATTCCTGTATGATGTTAGCATATAAAGGATATGTCTTATTACTATACAGGGTGAGGCAAAAGTATGGAAACCCCCGAATAAGTTTTGAGGAAGGCATTTTACGAAAAAATGTTAAATACAAAAGTTTTAGGAAATTTCTCTGGCTTTTCAATGGTGACCTTGGATTTGACCTTGACCGTGACCTTGAAGGTCATTTGAAGGTCAGAGTAATTTTTTAAATGGAAACCCCT